CACCCCACCCCGCGCCCGCGCCCGCGCCCGCGCGCCCACCCCTCCCCCTCCTCACCGTCTCCGTCGGGCGGGCGGGCGGCGAGCGGCCAGGGCGGGCGGGCGACGGAGCATGCGCAGACGCCGCCACGGCCGCTACCGCCACCGCCGCCGCCAGGCCCGGCTTCAACACTTCCGGCCGCCGCCGCCGGCGAGTTGGCTCCTTAAAGGGGACGCGTCCCTATTGCCGGCCCCGCGGAGGATGAACTTCAGCCGGAGGGTTTGGGGCCTTTATCAGAGCAAGAATCTCCTGCCCTGGAAAATTAGTGTTGGGAGGGACTCCAGGGATCCTGATAACTTTTCTAACCCCACTTTACGGGTGAGGAAAACGAGGCCTAAATTAAAGTCTCACCTCATTCGCAATCGGGGGCAAAGGCATGTCTCTCAAAGGCAGGACTCCTCTTGGAGGACTCTGCCCCTCTTACTTCCTCAAATCCGGTTATGAAGCTTACGTTCATCAGACTTTCAGAAGTGACGATACAACTATCATTTTGGAATCAAAGATCTGGTTCAGTATAGAGTCAGTAAGCAAACTCCTTTGCGTCCTCACCCATGCATGTTTGTCAAGCCTTTTCTGGTTGTGAGGTTTGTTCTGGGTTCAACTCATAAATTCTTTGGGGGTTACTGAACAGCTCTAAGCCCCTGTTTTGCCTAGGAATTAGGTTGTTGTTAAGTGTTAAAAGAAATGATCCTTGAAAATGCTTAGGAAAGTTCCTTGGGCCAGTAATAGTAATTAGCAAGTATTAAGACCTTTCTATGGCCAGGCCTTAGGGAAGATGCCTTTGTCTCATATAATCTTCTTGGCATCTCTACTAAATAGCTTCTTTTCACTCCCGTTTTACAGATAAAATACAGGAGGCCAAGAGAGGTTAACTAATCCCTCAAAGTCACAAAACTTACAAATGGTATAGCCGGGATGTAAACTCAGGCCCTTCTTTCTGCAGAGTACATGGTCATAACCACTCATATGGTTGCTACCGTTATTAAGAACGAATGAGGTAGTGGCATGCAGGCACTGTTTTGGAAGGGGAGAGAGAATTGCTTCCCCATCTTGCCCCTTCCTACGAGTCACATCTCTGATCTCTGTCCCCTCTGTCATGACGAGGTGACAGGAAGTTTTACAGGTTCTTGATTCAAGAACAGGTAGGCAACCCAGGAGTCGAACAATAGAATAGGATTTGGGGGTCAGACAACCTGGATTCTAGGCTTGGTTATCACAGCCCAGGGATCTTGGCCAAGTCACAACTCCCTTAAGCCTTGATTTCCTCACCTGTAAAATAGAGATGATTTTCCCACTGTGCCCACCTCTGAGGGCTGTTTCCAGGATCGAATAAGGAGACTTACACATTAGTAGGTGATTCTGAATATAATAGGGGCTGGTCATGGTGGACTCCTGACCTTTGTGAACTATTTCATAGCAAGATCATCTATATCTTTTGATTATGCATCATGCACTCATTGAACATTGACCAAAACCCTGTCCCTGCCTTCCAGAAGTTCTCAGTCTACCTTCTTCAGAGACAGAACTGTAAACATACAAGACAGTACAGTGTGATAGGTGTTATCATAGAGATACAAACAAAGCACAGAAAAATTGCAAAAGACTCTCCCTGGAGGATTCCTGAAAGGCTTCACAGAGGAGGAGGCATTTATGCCTGGTCTCAAACAATGAGTAGGAGTTCATCAAAGGGAAAAGTGGGTAAGGGCATTCCAAAAAGAACATGTACAAAGAAATACAGGGAAATGTGGCTGAAGAGGGGGGCTGGAACCAGATGGTTCTCATAAGGGGTAAGGAGATATCCTACAAGGAGTGGGGACCCAAGGGAGGTTTAAGTCCTCTTCAGCTGTAGTGCTAACACCCAGCCCCAGCCCACAGGACTTATCTGGACCACTGAAGTAATTTTCTAGTACTCAGCAACCCTATCCACCCACTTGCAAATGTTAACCGCCCTAGGCACCTAAAGGGAGTAACCCTTTAAAGAAATAACGTCAAATTATGTGACTTCCCTGTTAAAAACCCTTCAGTAGCTTCCTATTGCACTTAGAATAAAATCCATACCTCTCACTAGGGCCACCATGTGTGATCTCCTTCCTGCCCTCCTCTGCCCCTCACTAACTGTGCTCTGGATACTCTCTTTGTGCCTGGAACTCTTCTCAGGGCCTTGTCACTGGCTCTTCCCCCTAGCTGGGAAGCTCCTCCCTCAGGTCTTCAGAGCTCACTCTCATCTATCCTTCCTCACAGACCTTCACTGGCTCCCAACCTTAAAGTGGGGTCCCCAGTCACCTTCTTCCCTATCATTGTTGCTCCCAGTTCTACCAGGGCATTTGTCAGGTTCATTTGGGGGACTATTCAGGGCACCATGTCTGAGAGAACTCCCGTCCATGTCCTAGTCATTTTCTCTCAACCCCCCAGCTTACCTTCATAGCAATCCCCACAATGTGAAATCCCCTGGATTATTTATTTATCTATTTTGTGTCAACCTGTAGAGTTTGGTGCACAGCAAATGTTTGTTGATCGAATGAATGAATGATCAGAAAAATTATGATACGGACTGGAGAGGAGAAAGACCAGGAAAAGGAAACTATGTGAGGGAGACTAGGATCATCTTGCTAGGATCATCCCCACAAGAGAGGGGCTCATGCAGGGCAGAGTTCATGGCTGTGCTCCAGACACAGTTCCAAATTGGAACCAACAGGTCTTAGTGACCAAGCAAATGCGGGGAGTGAGAGAAAGGGACAAGGATGACCCCAAGTGAAGGAACAAAGCAGGAAGAGTTTGTTGGGGATTGAGGGAAAGTAGAAATAATGAGTCCATTTGGACTTGTTGAGTCTGCGGTGTTTGAGGGACATCTAAATGAAGGCATCCAGAGGAAGTTGGATTGACTGGTCTGAGGCAAGAGTCCAGGACTGGATTTTGGGACCTGTCAATGTAGATGGGCCACAGAGGCCAAGAGTGGATGGGTCATCCAGGAAGAGTGTGCAGGCAATGTGGGGCCCAAACCTGGGGAACATTAAGCCTTGAGGAACCTGAAGGAACCAACCAGAACTGGTAAGAATGCTTAGCTCCCTGGACAGAGAAGAGAAAAGAAGCCCAGAGAGCAGGCAGGGCGCTTCCAGAAGGGGATGGATGGCAGGACTTCTCTGGTGGTCCAGTGGGTAAGACTCCGGGTTCCTAGTGCAGGGGGCCAACATTTGATCCCTGGTCGGAGAACAAGATCCCGCATGTGTGCTGCAACTAAGAAGTCCTTATGACACAACTAAGAGTCTGCATGCTGCAACTAAATCCCATGCTGCAACTAAAAGAGCCCACACTCCGCAACTAAAGATCCCGCATGCCACAACTAAGACCTGGAGCAGCCTAAATAAATAAATATTTTTTTTTAAAAAGAAGAAGAAGATGGCACCAACAATGCCAGATACTGCAGAGCGATCAGGCGAGGAAAAAGGAGAAGTCATTGGACTTAGCAGCTAAGAGGATATTGCTGATCCTTCCAGGGTGGGTCACCTCCGAGGTTAGGGAGGAGGCCAGATTGGAGTGAATCAAATGGTAAGTGGGAGAAGTAGCAGAAACAGTGAGTGGAGAAAATTCTTTAAAATTTTTTGACAAAAAGAAGGAACTAAGGCATAAGGCAAAAAGATGATTATCTTAAGAGGCGAAAAAGTCATGTGAAGGCTTTCCTTTTTTATTTTTTCACTTAATTGTTTTTCCTGTAATTACCTGTTCACTGCAGAAAATTGTAAAATGCATAAAAGGATGGAGAAGCAGGAAAAAAACCCCACGTATTTAACATGTGGTATATTTCCTTCCAGTCTTTTTTCTATGCATTTTTTTCCTTTAGCTTGAAGAATTGTCCTGAATGTGCAATCTGTGTTATTCTTCTTTTCCCCTTAAACACTGTTTCCTAAACATTGAAGAGAATAATTTTTCTTCTCCTCTTCCCACACCCCACCTCAGCCTCACCCCACCGCATCCCCCTCCCTCTCCCCCTTTTTTGGCTGGGCTGAGCAGCTTGCAGAGTCTTAGTTCCCTGACGGGGATTGAACCCACACCCTCCCTTGGCAGTGAGAGCATGAGAGTGCAGAGTCCTAACCACTGGACCACCAGGGAATTCCCTTTTCCTTCTTCTTTTCAATATGAGACATACTTGAATGGCCAGTCTGGTTCTATCCTCCCCTCTAGCATTCTTGGGGTCTCTCTGATTTCTGAGCAGACAATTTTGCTTGGGAGATAATTCTGTTCATTTTGGGTGACTAAAAAAGATGAACAGTGGAAGGGCCAAAAATAACTTTGGGGGTAGCTGGCAGGGTTAGGAGAGGCCTCCGTGTGGGATGTTCAAGGCTTCCAGGCCCCCTTGGGGACACTGTGGGTGTGAACTGGACAAGGCCCACAGTGGCTGCAATCAGTTTGAAAACAGCAGGGAAACTGAGGGACAGTGGTACCCAGATCTGCTGAGAGCTTGCTCTAAGCACATTAGATCTATATAACCTCCCAGGTCCTGTTATTAACCCAGTGTAACGTGAGAGATTAAGAACATTCCCACATTCAGAGAATTCCCTGGCAGTCCAGTGGTTAGGACTCTGTGCTTTCACTGCCAAGGGCCCGGGTTCAATCCCTGGTCAGGAAACTAAGATCCTGTGTAAGCTACGCAGCCAAAACAGAAAAAAAAACAAACTTTCCCACATTCATATATCTATTTGTTGGCTGTGTTGTATTTGAACTTAGGCAGTTGCACTCCAGAGCCCATGCTCCTAGTTACCCCACCATTGTGGCCCTCCTATCCCTGGTTGCACATAGAATCACTTGGGGAGATCTTATAAAATACTCATACCAGAGTCCCACCCCAAATAAATTCAAGTGGAATCTGTGAAGCTAGAGCCTGGCCATGAAAATTTTCTAAAATGTCCCTCGATGACTCTAATGGACAGCCAGGTGGAAGAACTGCAGCTCTGCTGGCTCTTGACTATGTTTATTTCAAGCCAAGTAACAACAACAGCAGCATGAATAATAACAGCTAAAGCTTACTAAGTGCCAGGCCATTTAACTTATTTATTTATTTTAATTTATTTAACTTATTTTATTTTTGGCTGTGTTGGGTCTTCGTTGCTGTGTGCAGGCTTTCTCTAGTTGCAGCAAGCAGGGGCTACTCTTCTTTGCACTGCGCGGGCTTCTCACTGTGGTGGCTTCTCATTGCAGAGCACGGGCTCTAGGCGTATGGGCTTCAGTAGTTGTGGCATGCAGGTTCAGTTGTTGTGGCGCAGGGGCTTAGTTGCTCCACGGCATGTAGGATATTCCCGGACCAGGGCTCGAAACTGTGTCCCCTGCATTGGCAAGCGGATTCTTTTTTTTTTTTTTTTTGAGATTTGATTGCAAAGCAATGTTCATTATTATTATTTGTTAATATCTTTATTGGAGTATAATTGCTTTACAATGGTGTGTTAGTTTCTGCTGTATAACAAAGTGAGTCAGCTATACGTATACATATATCCCCATAACCCCTCCCTCTTTCATCTTCCTCCCACCCTCCCTCTCCCACCCCTCTAGGTGGTCACAAATCACCAAGCTGATCTCCCTGTGCTATGCGGCTGCTTCCCACTAGCTATCTATTTTACGTTTGGTAGTGTGTATATGTCCATGCCACTCTCTTACTTCGTCCCAGGCTTACCCTTCCCCCTCCCCATGTCTTCAAGTCCATTCTCTACGTCTGGCAGGCAGATTCTTAACCACCACGCCACCAGGGAAGACCCCCCAGGCCACTTTTAACACTTGTTATTAACTTATGGAATTCCCACAAGGTAGGTACTAGCAGTGTCCCCATTTTACAGATAGGAAAACTGAGGTCGCATAGTTGGTATGTGGTAGAACCAGAATCTGAGCTCTTGACCTCAGTCTATGCTATGGCCTAACCATTATGATTTCCTGAGACTAGCTGCTCATAGGATTGAAGGGAAAAGAAGCTAACATTGCTTAAGCCCTTTCTCTGTGTCTGCAGTGTGCTAGGAGCCTTTCCATAGATAAAATTCCAGGCAGGAAATTTCCTTTCCAGGTAGGGAGTGTTATCCCCGTTTCTCAGAAAAGGCAAAACAGGCTCAGTGAAATTAAGTGGCACAGCCTCAGGTTGCAAGTCTAAGAAGTTGCAGAGCTGCCACTCCCAATGGATCCGTCCTAATTCCAGGCTCTGTCCACTTATTTGAAGTAACTAAAATAGTCAACTTCATAGAGACAGAAAGTAAAATAGTGGTTACCAGGGGCCGAGGGAAGGGGGGTTTGGGAAGTTAGTGTTTAATGGGAGTTTCAACTGAGGATGATGAAAAAGTTCTAGAAATGGATGGTGGTGATGACTGCACAACACTGTGAATGTACTTAATGCCGCTGAACTGGACACG